AAACAAACAAACAAAAAAACCCCACAAATTTTGTCTGATGCATCTCATCTGATTTGAGTAACTCCATGAGGAATTGTTAGTATCATTTTATTAATGAGAAAACTGCGGCTGAGAAAAACTGGCTCACAATCTTATCCATTTTCTTTTACTCTGTGCTATTCTTGAGAAGATTAATTTCACATTTTGTGTAAAAACAGCTTATAAAATTATATATCTGTATATTGACTATAATGATATAAAAAAGATCAAGTGAAAACATGAAAATAAATATGACTAAATGCTAATAAATTGGGGGTTTTGAGAGATGGGGTAAAGGATGCCTTTTTTCTTATTCCTAGTTTTCTGTGTTTTCCATAATACATGACTGCTTTTCTATCATCAGCAGCAATAACAGCGACAACAGCAACAAATAAAAGGCATATGTTTTTGCTTTAAAAGGAAAGCTGCCTTTGTCTCCTGGGCTACCAACATTCCTCTAGGAAGGTAGAAAGCTTTTAAGAAATTTATGTAAACAAAGACTGTTTGGCATTTCAAAGGCTTTTTAAGCCAAACAAAATCCATAATGAAAATTTTGCCATAAACTTTTGGAGTTTCTACTTGGACTATGTTGCACAGTTTCCCACCAGTTATACTGCAAAAAACAAACAAAAAAGTATGTTAGTGTGACTCAACTGAAAATGAAACTGATAGCCTGATCTGTAAAATATTCTGCATACTCCGTATCCTGTGGAAATAATATATTTGAATTGAATGTGTTTATCCATAGTGCAGTCCTTTACCAAGATATTTCTGCGTCTCCAAAATACTGAAAGATCCAATCAATTCCTTTGATATATGCAGTCAATGATAAAGATATTTTATCTACACAATGCTGAACACCTGAACTGACTGAACAGAGAGAGATCTTTTGGGAGTGTGTAGATAGAGCTGAAATGGGAAAAATGTGATCATTTAAACCATGTCTCCATTATCATTACAGCCAATTGTAAAGCAAAAGATTCCGTCAATCAGGTAATTCTTTTGTCTACACAATTCCAAGCCATTATTCTGAGTAATTTGTTTCATTGAATTTAGCAAATATTTAGTTGGTTTCCTAAAACATAATTGAATCTGAATAATAGGAAGAAAAAAGATTCTGGTCTGAATTTTCTGCATAGGGGATATAAGTTAAAAGCAAACAAATGAACGGACAAAAACCCCACACTTGTCCCTTACATATAAATACTCTCTTATTTCTTCTTAAAAAGTAGTTCTTTTAGGCTATGCACATTTGACTTTCATTACTTGGTTAGAAAGACCTGGTCCAGACAGAATATTTATTAAAATGTAAATTAAAATTGCCTGAAAGAAAAAACATGCAGAGAAAATATTAGAATAATAGTCCTTGGGTTATAGGAGGTGGAGTTAGAACCTTTGGAAGATTTAAGAAAAGAACGGTTTCAGAAGAGGAAGAGCCAGATCAAAGGGTCACTGATTTTGGACAAAACTGACTCCCCTTCATGGCTCTCATTCCACTCATTGGAGGCACTACCGTTCTTCCAGACTCGGAACACTGAAGCCACATTGAATTGTTCCCTCTTCATCCTTTGTATCTGATATGTTCACATCTCACCCTCTCTTTCTTTGAAAGCTGTCTCTGGTTCACACCTTACTTTGCATAGAGAGTCGTACTACTTTATGCCTGAATTACTACCAACAACTTCCAAAGAGGTCCCTCTGCCACAAGTCTCTCGGCCTCCAATCCTGCCTGGTCCATAGCTGTCAGATTTATTGTCCCCAGACATCACTTTCCTCATTGCTGCCGCCTGCTCACCACTCACTTTCTTCATTGTCCCTGCACTAAGTTCAAACTCCTTGCTCTCTGCCTGATAGTTGGGACCCTCCACAGCCCTTTCCCTCATTCTCCTTCTCTCTCTCTCTCTCTCTCCTTCTCTCTCTCACACACACATCAATCCAATCTTACGTTTTGCTGTTCCCCAAAGACTTCATTTTAGTCAACCAAATCACTACATACTATAAAAATCCCCTTCCTGACCCCTTCTCCAAATCCAGACCATTCTCATCCCAGCCATGTCCTTTCTGTGTAAAGAGCTGTCCCTCTTGACTTTTACTTTCCAAATTATCCTCATCCTTCCAGAGTCTTCTCAAATGCCACCTCTTCCATGAAGGCTTCTCTGATCCCTCTAGACCCATAATTTCCTTTCTTTTCTCTGAACTCTCTTCCTATCTATAATCAAGACTGAATTACATGACATATTACTTCAATACACTTCTTTTGATTTATATGGCATCCCTTGTTACTCAAGGAGGGTGTTATTGACATTTGTAACAGGGCACTTCATTGTGCAGGGCTGTCTAGCACATTTCGGGTCATTTGGCTCCCAGGCTCCTGATGCTAAGTGACAGGGATGTTATTGTGACAACCCCAAATGCTCTGAATACAATTCCAAATGCCCTAATTATTAAAAAGTTCCTTGGAGAAGTTGCTATATCATATATACACCTGCTCAACAAATGATCTTTGTTTAAATGGTGAATGCATATTTTAAAGAATAAATATTTCCCTTACAGTTGCCAACATATTAAAAAAACTCAGAATGAGACTAATTAAACATTCAGATGAACCAACACTGTATTTTAGGTGTTTTTCATAAGGTATTTCATTAAACCCTCATACCAGCCCTGGTTGTTATTTATCCTTATCCTTAAAGATGAGGAAACTGAGGCTCAGAGAGTTCTGCTTACCCAAGGTCATACATCCAAGCTTGATTAGAGCCCTGGCATTTTAAAGCCCAGGGTATTTGGAGTCAAATATTTGGCTTTTTCTCTTACCACTCAGCCTCTATAAGGGCAGCCTATTTGTAACAGCTTTGAAATAAGAGTGTGAACGTATAACACAATTAGCAATTTGAAGCATATTATTAATGCTGATAGGTGCTAATGACTATAATTGAAAGGGAAGATATTAGACCAGACAAACAATTTTTTAGAATTTAAAACAAGGATCTAAATTAGAGTCTAGTGAATGAATCTACTCCTTGACCTTCTTTGCTACAGACATTACCCCATGTCTAGTCTCTAACTGAGAGGTATGTATTCTTTACTCTCTTATTGTATTCTTTACTCTCTTAATGTTTGTCTTGGCAGATGGCCAAGAGATCTCTAAGTTTCCCTTAATCAAGTTTTGGGTAATAGATGCCCAATACAAGGCCCAGTAAATATACCTTGTATTAGGTAGTACTGCTAGACCCAAAGCAACAGAAATCTAACAGCTGGCAATAGTTGCTCAACTCTTCCCTAGTTGCTCAAGTCTTTTCTATCACCTGGGCATCTTTAATACTAAATGTTATATAAATCAAGTATCATGGTATCATTTAAAATGTTGTATATATTTCTTTCTAGTGTTAGTTCATTATTCATTTCATGCATGTCTAAAACACCTACATTTACTAGTAACTTATTTCACTATGTGCCCAATATCCAATTACAGTTCTTCATATTTCAGCTGATCTAGAGTTTAGGAAGTGATAGTGTGGATGATTCATGTGCTTACTCTAAAAAGTACACTCATGGGCTTCTCTGGTGGCGCAGTGGTTGGGAGTCCGCCTGCCGATGCAGGGGACACGGGTTCGTGCCCTGGTCCGGGAAGATCCCACATGCCGCGGAGCAGCTGGGCACGTGAGCCATGGCCGCTGAGCCTGCGTGTCCGGAGCCTGGGCTCCGCAACGGGAGAGGCCACAACAGTGAGAGGCCTGCGTACCGCAAAAAAAAAAAGTACACTCAGTTTCTATCTGTGCACATAGGAAGAACTACATTCCTGCAGGATTTTAAAAAACAGAAAGAAAATTCAACCCATTTGAAAGAGCCAGTATTGTTGATTTCAAGTTTTTCTTTTCAGCTCTGAGGATGTTTACCATCAATTTTTTTCTGTTTAACAAAGAAGGAAAAGGACCTGAAAGCCAAGTTCATAGAAAACTTAGAACAATTGTGTAACTATAGGTAAATGTGCATATGATATAAAAGTATTCCATTCCTGTATTGTCTTATAAACCATATCTACTGAAACAAAGTGAAACCATTTGTTTAATTCATATAAAACCGTTATTCAACTGTAACCACCTGAGCATTCAGGTGATCTGAAACATAAAAGGATTTTTAGTTATGCTTAGCAAGAAAAACAGACATTTAAAAAAAATTCAACAATTGTTTGTAACAAATTGAGCTTGGTGTTAGCCTTTGCCTCTCACTGTTGTGGCCTCTCCCGTTGCGGAGCACAGGCTCCGGACGTGCAGGCTCAGCGGCCATGGCTCACGGGCCTAGCCGCTCCACGGCATGTGGCATCTTCCTGGACCGGGGCACGAACCTGTGTCCCCTGCATCGGCAGGCAGACTCTCAACCACTGCGCCACCAGGGAAGCCCTGGTGTTAGCCTTTTATTAGAACATTTCCTGAGCAAAATGCATTTTGAACTGCTACATGCTGGGACACTTTGTAGGGAGGTGGAAGAGAAGGTGATAGAATCTTTCCCCACTAAGACTAAAAAAAAGAAAAAGTCCAGTAACCCCTCTCAGTTTCATTATTGTTTTGACTCATCTTTTCTCAAACTATCTTGTCAAATATTTGCCAGACAATAGAATTCTTTAAAATATCCAGCTGCTCCCTATAGAAGCCAGAAATAGTCTAAATATTTTGATAACATTTCTCAGAGAGGCGCAAACATTTTAAAGGTGGAATTCTAGGGTTTTTGTTATATTTCCTTATATCCTAATAGCACGTGAACTGGTATCTGCTGATGTGCTATCAACATTTCCCCATCTATTTTTAGATCTTCAGTTGTTTTAGAGGTAGATTTAATATGTAAAGCAGAAGCTTACACTGTGAAACATTTGCATGATTGTATTTTAGTTTTACCATTAGCTAAGTAGGGCAAAGTTGATCCCATCTCACGGGGAACTCTCTCCCACATTTCCTCTGTGGACTTGGAGGTTCAGATTTGCTTACCTGCTTCCTTGAAGATACTGTGCTGTTGAAATATCTACTAGAGGTCTTTGAATTCAAATTCTTGTTCTGATGGGTTGAGTCATTTTTCCATGTCTTAGAGTTTTCTTTAGGATCTGAAGGAATGGGATTTAAGAAGAGGATCCTAGCTATGAATCCATAGAGGACAGTGGCCAGGATCATTGGAACAACATAAAAGACACCAAAGTCCATTAGGTAAATAGGTGAGTAGTAATTCCTGGAGATCTTGTAGCCACAGGACACCACAATAGCATCTTTATAGGTGCTAATATTGAGATCCAGCAAGAAGAACCACAGCATACAGTAAATGGATGTGAAAGCCCAGACAAAGATGATGATCTTTTTGGCTCTGGAAAATGTGCAGAGAAACTGGGCTTTGATGGGGTGACAGATTGCTATGTACCTCTCAATGGTAAATGCTGTGATTGAACAAGAGGATGCATTAATGCCCAAGTACTGGAGGTAAGTAATGCAGAGGCATCCAACGTAGCCATAAACCCAGGAACCATAGATACTGTCCGTTATGTTGGGGAGGCCTGCGGCCACCAGGACCATGAGATCAGCTACTGCTAGACTCACCAGGTAGCAGTTTGTGGGCGTCCTCATGTGCTTGGTTCTCATGACCACCAGGACTACCATGATGTTGCCCACGATGCCCAGACCACAAATAATGAGCACAAGTAAGATGGTGACCACTTGGTATTCTAGGGCCACCACGGCTCGAGGCTGAAGCTGGGTTTGGTTCAGTTCACTTACTGTCTCGTTTTCCATCTTTAGTGGCTTGAGGTTTCTCTGAAACACTTCTCAACACATCTTCTTTCCGGTGCCCTGCCTTTATCACAGTGGTTCTCTCCCCCTGTGAAGAGTTACAATTCATATTCATTCACAGCATCACCAATTCTGATCAAGTCACAGTCACTTATAGGTAATTCTCCTCTCCTTCCACCTCCCATTTTTCTGCAGTAATAGGGCTCATATGTACTCCCCAAAACTCTTTTATTGCAACTCTAGTGTAGGATGGAATAACTGTTTTGACTACCTTACCATAAGAGGGACTGGTTTTTTTCTTAATGGAGAAAAATGCTCAAGAAAAGAGACACAGAAAATGCTCCTTGTTTTGAAAGAGTGCTCAATGGAAAAAAACAAAAAAAGAAACAATATCTGCTACCTGAAAAATAAATACAAAGACATCTCTTAGATGCTTGGGAAAAGTACAATGGAGAAGAAAAAGATACGAGGGGGGAAAAAGCCAAGAGGCTCAATGATCAAGCTTGACAGAAAATTAGCATCTGCCTCCTCTGCTCTCAAAGGGTGAGATCCCTTTGCTACAAAATAGCAAGCCTTTGAACCTACCTCTCCCCATGCCCTCTGCCCTGCAGACCCAACAGAGAACAATTTCTTCTCTTACCTTTTCCTCTGTAGCGTCGTCTGCTTTTCTAGGTAGATGAGGCAGTATTAAGCGTGAGTTTCCAACGCTGCAGAAAACCTCGTCTACTTTGTTTGACAGGGAGACTACTTAGCAGTGCTCTGTCTTCAGAACTGCGGTTCTTCTAAACCCTTGCAGCCTTTCCAACTGATGACAGACCATACAGCCGCAGCAGAAGCAGCAGCAGAAGCAGCAGCAGAGAGCCTGTCAAATCGTAGATCGTCCCCTAATGAGAACATGCTCGCTCTGTCTCCCCCCGCCCCCCTCCCACACACGCGCAAACACACACACTCACGATGGCAAATGCCAGTCAGTCCTCACTGATTCATAATCTTCTCCCCTTGAAGGATTTACTTTTAAATGTGCTAGTGATACAGTTCTAATCTGGAAGGCTGAAATCACCAGCAAGGGGTCCAGAGGCAGCTGGTCTTATAGTTGTTTATAGTCTAAGTTCTACAGCAACTCCAGTACCTGAGGCAGCCCTGAAATATATTTACACTCCCTGTTTGATAGGACTTGGGGATGGCAAATCCTTCTCAGTCCAGGCACAGCCCTTGAAGCTTGAGATATGTGTCTGAGCTGAAA